CTGAATCTATGTGGCTTTATTGCTGCGTATTTCATTACAAATTAGCCTTCCATTTATTAGATTAAGGAAACCTGCTACGTGCTTTTACTTATTTACTTAATATTTTTTCAAGCAGTTTTAGGTTTCCAGAAAAAACTGAGTGAAAAGTACAGAATTCCCATAAATTTCCTTATCCCTTCCACCTCTAATTTCCCCTATTATTAACATCTTGCATTAATGTGGTACATTATTACAACTGATGAGCTAATATTGATATATTATTATTCGCTAACATCCATGGTTTATGTTAGGATTTACTCTTTGTATAATATATCTATGGGTTTTAACATATAATGACATGTATCCAGCATTAGAGTATCACACAGAATAGTTTCACTGCCCTAAAAGTCTCCCGTGCTCCACCTGTTCTTCCTTCCCTTGTTTTCTCCCTGAACCACTGATCATTTTACTGTCTTCATGGTTTTGCTGTTTCCAGAATGTGTCACACAGTATGTAACCTTTTCAGATTAGCTTCTTTTATTTAGTAATATGCGCTTAAGATTCCTCCATGTCTTTTTGTGGCTTCATAGCTCATTTCTTTTTATCCCTGAATAAGATTCCATTGTCTGGAGGTACCACAGTTTGTATATTTATCCACCTGTTGAAGGACATCTTGGTTGCTTCCAAGTTTTGACAATTATGAATAAACCTGCTACAACAAGTTTATCTGTGTGCAGGTTTTTATGTGAACATAAGTTGTCAATGCATTTGGGGAAATAACAAGGAGTGTGATTTCTGGATCCTATGGTAAAAAAAAGTTTAGTTTTGTAAGAAACGGCCAAACTGTCTTCTAAAGTGGCTGTACCATTTTCATTCCCACTAGCAATGAATGAAAGCTCTTGTTGCTCCACAACTTCACCAACATTTGCTATTGTATTTTGAATTTTGGTTATTCTAATAGGTGCGTAGTGGTATCTCACTATTGTTGTCATTTATAATTCCCCATGACATATGGTGTTGATAATCTTTTCATATGCTTACTTGTCACATGTATATTTGCTTTGTTGAGGTGTCTATTCAGATCTCTTGTCCATTTCTTGATTGGCTTGTTTGTTTTCCTATTGTTTTGTGTTTTAAGAGTACTTTTTATGTTTTGGATACCAGCCCTTTATCGGATATGTGTTTTGCAAAGATTTCCTTCCAGTCTTTAGCTTGTCTTTGCAATCTGCTAATATTTATTTTTAATTATTAAACCTCAACATCACAGTCCAAGTATATTTAAGTACTAATGACATCCAGGTTTATAGTTGTTGAAAAAGTTGAAAAATCTTAGCACTCCATTCCTATTTACCATTGACTTCCTTGCGGTTGGTTGCATTTGCCGAATGGATCAAGTCATCAAGTCCGACACGGGCTCAACCTCAAACCTCACGTTCTTAACCGGGATCATCGCTGCTATCATCTGAGAGTTGGCTTGTGGCCTGTCCAAGTTGGCTGGATCTAGCTGACCTGATTGGAGTGGCCGACATTTTTGCTGACTGGAGTCATGCTATCTTTGCCAGTTTGCTGGAATAGACACAGACACCGATTGGGTCATGCTGAAGACATTCCTGTCTTGTGAAGCAAGTCTGTTTGTATTTTAGGTTTGCCAGGACTAATGAATTAAAACATTTGGACTCTCCACAACTTGCTGTTTATCAATGTCTCTGACAGGGGGAGGGTTTTCTTTTGCTCTTGCTTTTTCTAGAAGCATGACAACATCCTGGCTGTTGGAGAGACAAGGGAAGGAAAGAGGGGTTGTGGAGGGAAGCGGAACAGGGAGGTCCCGTGGGACGCTGGGGTCTGGGGCAGAGCAGGTAGCAGCGTGCCACCCTGACAGCTGTCTCTGCTCCTCAGATTGTCAGTGGCTGCTATGCAGCAGGTGCAGCCTGGTCTCTCACTGACTCTTTACTCCACAAAGGCAACGACTGGCCAAGGCAGTGGCCGGCCCTGGGTTACACAAGTGCAGACACTCAACTAAGTGAGGTAAGCCAACAGGTGTGAAAACCGAACTTAATGCTCAGAGCACCAGCAAATTAACCAAAGCTCTGTTACAGCCTGCAGCCGAGAGAAGGAATCAGTGGTCCGTTTCCCCAGGCGGTGTGATGAAAAGGCAAGTTGGTTCAGGGGCTCTCGTGGTTGATGTCGTGTGGAACTCAAAGTCCACCAAACCTTGCCACCATCCTTTGGGAGGCAGACAGATGTTCTCCATTGTGCGGAGGGGAGGGACTCTAATTAGCGGTGTTTATCAATTCCGTTTCCCGTAGCTGGGAACCTTACCAGAGATTTATCTACAAAATTCTGGAGGCAAATTTCTACCTCCTGTGCTTTATTTCTTGGTGCAGGAAAGTGTTGGGAGATTTAGCCAAAAGTGCAGGTTTCCATCCTTAGATGTTAAAGTGGTTTGGTAGTTGCGCAACATATAACAATAAAACTTTTCCTTTTGGCTAAAACTTTAAGGGAATTTTAATTGTTTGCTCTGTTAAATGTGAGACAATCCGTGCTGTTCTCCAGGAACAGATGGCTAACAAAACACTTGATTCTGAGCAGATGGGACTAGATGTAAGTGTGTCAGAGTTATGATAAAACAAATCCAGAGTCAAGTAACAGCAATTTTATATTAACATTTTCTTAAATTAAATGTTTCATGTTACTAGTTCTTTCTAACTTAGAATTATGTGACGTGGATAGTAGGGAGCTTTTGGTTCATTGCTATTTGTAGTGCTAGATGAATGGACTAGATATAATTCTAACTGGGTGATAAACGGCTGCTCGTTTTTCTCCAAAGCTATACTAGGTGTTTAATATAAGCCTGTTCTTTGTTCATATACTGGAAAGATGATTCCATGTGTGTACATGTCTAAATATACATGTATATGTGCATTGACTTTGGCTGTATAAATAATTTTAAAAACAAAATTCAGTGTTCTGGACACTATTTTTAGATAGAGAAAAGTTATGGGAAAGAGAAACCTTGCTGTGAGAAAATGTCCTGCTAAAGCAGTTCCCAGAATCTCCCTAAGGATGGCTAAAGAGATTATTTATATTTCGCCATATTTAGAGACATTTCTCTCAAAATATCATTCAGGTTTTTTGGTTTACTGTCTACATTAGAAGGAAAATAGAGGGTTTAGCGAAGGCAGGACTAAAAATAGGAAAGTTAAATATGTATATATTTAAACAACAAAGATATGTATTTATAACAAAATCTTTTTCTAGTCCCTGTGAACACCAAGTTATTAAATATTTTAATTAAAATGTATTTGGGCCAAATTCTCTTATTATAATGAAGAAATATTCTTGCTCATCTCATCTATCTGTACCATGTTTTTTCATTCATTCTGTTAATACCTGTTTATTATT